ATGTTTCCTAATGATATCTCCTAATGGTAGCATGTACAGAGTGAACAGCAGCGGTCCTAGTACTGAGCCTTGTGGTACGCCATACTGAACTTGTGATCGATAAGACATCTCTTCATTTACTGCTACAAACTGATAACGGTCAGTTAAGTATGATTTAAACCATGCTAATGCAACTCCACTAATGCCAACATAGTTTTCTAGTCTATTTAAAAGAATGTTGTGGTCAATGGTGTCAAATGCAGCACTAAGATCGAGTAACACTAATAGAGAGATACAACCGCGATCGGATGATAAGAGCAGATCATTTGTGACTCTGATGAGAGCTGTCTCAGTGCTATGGTACGGTCTAAATCCGGACTGAAAATCCTCGCAGATATCATTTCTTTCTAGAAACGAACACAGTTGTGAGGATACTGCTTTTTCTAATATCTTTGATAGAAAAGGCAGATTCGAGATCGGCCTGTAATTGACTAATTCTGTAGGATCAAGTTGTGTTTTTTTAACAAGCGGTTTTATCATAGCCAGTTTAAAGGTTTTTGGTACGTATCCCAGAGACAAAGATGAATTAATGATATTAAGAAGAGGATCTATGACCTCTGGAAGCATCTCTTTCAGTAGCTTAGTCGGTATAGGGTCTAACATACAAGTTGTCGATTTAGATGATTTTAGACAATTCTTCCTCTCCTATGTGTGATCTAGACTCTCTCCTGTAAGGCCTCATCGACTCGACAGCCGTCGCACTGATCCTCAACAAACCCGTCTCCATACCGGTGTGACACCGATCTTCAACCAGATAGATCTGGTTTTAGATTTTAAATCCCTCACTCATCATTGCGAGTTGTATGCGTGTGTTGGGTGCTCGGCTTTGTCTATCCGTAGACTAAAACACTGGCCTGTTCTTATTTATAAAACTATCCTGGGACTGCTTCCCTTATATCTTCAGACATGTATCTGTAAATGTGTATGTAGTTACAGCCTTCGGTCTCAGGATCTTCTGTTGGCTTCCAGTGGTGAACTGGGACTGAACTGGGAAAGCATTTAAACGTGCAGCTCCTTCTGCCGGGAATAATCTGAATCTCCGGGAGTTGGTTTCAGTGGACATTTCTAAAGTGATTTTAAAAGACTGGGAGACAGAAACATCTGTTTGTAGATGCTTTGCCTGACTTATGTATTGATTTGCCTATTTTATCTTTTACATTTGCCTGTGTAAATGCAGAATGGAAAAAACTGTGCAAAAAACGGAATGCAGAATCCCTGACAACATTCAAAAGACAACTGAAAACTCATCTCTTCCGGGAGCACTTAACATAAAAAAAAAAATAATAATAAAAAAAAAAAAATCCTTTCCTCTAAATCCTCGCTTGCCTGCCTTATGCTACTCCGAGCTATGTCTGAACTTTGTATTTTGAGCACTTCTTGCGTTGCTTTTGCCTCTTCACGATGACTCGCTTGGTTTAGTCCTCAGTTGTAAGTCGCTTTGGATAAAAGCGTCTGCTAAATGACTAAATGTAAATGTAAATGTAAATGTGTGTTTTCTATATATGTATGGACGTGTGCTATTGGTTAAACCCACGTGAATTGTGTGTTGATAATCTTGGCCAGGACGCTCTTGCAAAAGAGATATAATAATGGAACTGGATAATATTCTTATGTTCCTATCCGATCTGACCTCTGACCTGTGACCTCTGACCTGTAATGCTGCCTGGATCATAATCACAATCTCAACATTCAACTTCAGATTTGTATTGTACAGGTTTCCCCATCGGAGCTGTGAGTGTACATTATTGTACAAGTACGAATATTCACATCTACGTGCTCTCGAGTGTTGCTCCTCTTTTACCTTCGAGCTTCACGCTTGTGCAGGGGATTGTGGGATTGATGATTGTGGGACATTGTAATTCAGGCGCTGTTTAGAGTGTGTGTGTGTGTGTGTGTGTGTGTGTGTCAGGATAGTCAGAGAAGCACAGCTGCCAAAGCAGTGTGTAGCCACAGTGTGACAGCGGAAGAACCGCTTGTGAGTGTGTGTGTGTGTGTGTGTGTGTGTTTGAGTGTGTGATGAGTAGCTGTTACACACATCACTCTCTATCTAAAATGACTTTATCTATCACTATATCATGCACACCAAAACGCTGATAACTAACAAAGAACAAGAACTCACCGGTTTACATGCAAACCCATAACCGTTTAAAAGACTTTATTAATAATTCCGTTTATTTCCCGGCAGTGTAAACGCAATCATTGGTGTGTCTGACTGTGGTAATGTTCGATAAAGCAGTGAGAGCGCTACAGAGACGGTGTTTCACTTCTGCTCAGTTTGACATGAGAACACGTCCACAACGTCTTCGGTCAAGAAAGAGTTTGTGTTACACCTCCTCTCTCTCTCTCTCACACACACACACACACACACACACACGTTACTCTGGGGAAAGAGTTCACATGACGGCATGAGCATAATCAGGGTAAGAACGTCTGTAATAGTTCCATTATTTATGTTCAATTATATGAAATATCTTAAAGGCTAGAAGAAAAGACTGGTGTTTTCACACAACTTACACGCTTTGTAAATATTACGATAAGAAGCTTTTTATTTTTTGAAAATGAAAATATGTAATTATTTATAATCTTGGCTCTTAAAAATATTGTAAAAGCTAAAATGTGAGGTTAAAAATGTATAAAACCTGTTTTTGTAAAAACGTTGTAACAAAGTTATTTGTACTGTAAATTGTTGTTTTTTACAGTGGTTTAAGATGTATGGATATATAAAATGTTCATGTTTTTAGTGCATAAACATAGCCACTATGATCTTAAGACAGTATGAGCCACGAACGGCCAGTCTTTCCGGCATCAGATTAGGCCAATCTGCTTTTTTATGTAACTAATTTGAAACCGTTATAAACGCTCTTAAATATAAAAACACATGTTTAACCTGTAAGACTAGTCTAGACTGGCTCCAGGTCTTTAAAAGCCTTAAATGTGTTGCATAACCATGATCCCGATGTCATGTGATCACCTGCGGCCAATCACAGTCTCTTAAATACAGTTTCTTAATGTTTACGGATCTGGTTTAGTCGCTAATAGCGTCTCTAATGGGCTCATTAAAATGAGCCAAATATTTAATGAAAAGGAGAGTTAGAACCAGGTCAGCTCTAATTAAGATGTAAGGACTAATTACATGTGCGTGACTTTAATTAGAGAAGCCACAGTATGTGTGACATATAACATTACAAAACACAAGAGAGCGAGAGCAATGTCTTTATGAATATCCAACTTTATACATAGAGCTGTGTGATAACCTAGTTTATGGTTTTTAATGACCTTGTGTGTAATATTGAAGATATTTTGAGGGGTTTTTTTAACCTTTATTTTTTTCCTCAGGTCAATTTGACCCAATTTTTAAAAATTGAGTGTTCATCAGAGGGTCCAAGACCCCAGGACTTTAGTCGCACTTGAACCACGAATACACACACACAAATTAAATGGATTCGAGGAGTTTTGTGGTTGAAATTTTAAAAAGCAATAATCTGACCCGTTTAGGAATGAGAGGAATGCTTCAGTACACATAGAAAAACCTAGAAATACTCTGAATTCAAACTTTACCAAAAAATGATTGTATAATGTACATGTGTGTGTGAATGCACACTGAGAGGAACTGGCTTTAGGACCCAGCGGAACAGCTCCGGCTCCATATAGAGCTATACGCCCATCTAAAGGCATGAAATATCATATTATATTATTATTTTCCACAAGAGGTCGGCAGAGACGCCCAATGTACGATATTTTGAGCTGAATTAAATGATGGGTTATGCATGAAATTGAGAGTTATTTTGAATTTAAATTGAAAGAATGTGAGGAATCTACTTAAATATGCACATTTAATGCATTTATATGTAAGTACTTGCCAGCAGCCGTACCTCCCTGTAGCCCCAGACTGGTCCCCTACTGGAGCTGTGTGTGTGTGTGTGTGTGTGTGTGTGTGTGTGTGTGTGTGTGTGTGTGTAGCCCCAGACTGGTCCCCTACTGGAGCTGTGTGTGTGTGTGTGTGTGTGTGTGTGTGTGTGTGTGTGTAGCCCCAGACTGGTCCCCTACTGGAGCTGTGTGTGTGTGTGTGTGTGTGTGTGTGTGTGTGTGTGTGTGTGTAGCCCCAGACTGGTCCCCTACTGGAGCTGTGTGTGTGTGTGTGTGTGTGTGTGTGGCTGGATGGGAGACTCCTGGGGGAGTGTGTGTGTGTGTGTGTGTGTGTGTGTGTGTGTGTGTGTGTGTGTGTGTGTGTGTGTGTGTGTGTCTCGACCTGTGTGAAACCACTGTTTCTGCCTGTGTGTGTGTGTGTGTGTAGCCCCAGACTGGTCCCCTACTGGAGCTGTGTGTGTGTGTGTGTGTGTGTGTGTGTGTGTGTGTGTAGCCCCAGACTGGTCCCCTACTGGAGCTGTGTGTGTGTGTGTGTGTGTGTGTGTGTGTGTGTGTGTGTGTGTGTGTGTGTGTGTGTGTGGCTGGATGGGAGACTCCTGGGGGAGTGTGTGTGTGTGTGTGGCTGGATGGGAGACTCCTGGGGAAACCTGGTTGCTGCTGGAGGAGGTGTTAGTGAGGCCAGCAGGGGGCGCTGTTCACCCTGGGGTCTGTGTGGGTCCTAACGCCCCCTATAGTGAGGGGACACTGACTGTCTAAGAGCACCGTCCTGCGGATGAGGCGTTAAACCGAGGCCCTGACTCTCTGAGGTCATTGAGTCCCATGGCACTGCTGGTAAAGAGTAGCGGTGTAACCCGGTGTAACCCGGTGTAACCCGGACACACTCCCTCCATCGGCCCGCCAATCATGGCCTCCTGATAATCCCCATCCACTCAACTGGCCCTGACACTCTCCCTCCTCACCACTGTAGCTGGTGTGTGTGTGTGTGTGTGTGTGTGTCTCGACCTGTGTGAAACCACTGTTTCTGCCTGTGTGTGTGTATGTCCTCATGAATGCATTAACAGAGTGTGTGTGTGTGTGTGTGTGTGTGTGTGCAGGACGACAGCTCCATGTTCTTCCAGTTCGGTCCCTCCATCGAGCAGCAGGCGTCTGTTATTCTCAACATCATGGAGGAGTACGACTGGTACATCTTCTCCATCGTCACCACATACTACCCCGGGTACCAGGACTTCGTTACCAAGGTAACACACACACACACACACACACAAACACACACACACACACACTCACACACACACACACAGTGGTACATCTTCTCCATCGTCACCACATACTACCCCGGGTACCAGGACTTTGTTACCAAGGTAACACACACGCGCACACACACACACACACATACACACACTGGTACATCTTCTCCATCGTCACCACATACTACCCCGGGTACCAGGACTTCGTTACCAAGGTAACACACACACACACACGCACACAAGGACTACATTACCCATAAGCCATTGTCCTCATCACGCATGATTATCCACAGCTGTTTCTCATTAGCTTGTTTAGCCCAGCGTTCCCTCAGCTGTTCCTGCTGGAGTCTTGTGTAGTGGTGGGCAGATCGAGGCTTCGTGGGCATGTGCCGTATCCAAACACTGCCACACCCGTCTCCACGCTGACCCCTAGTGGTCAGAACAGTGTCAATGCAACAAAACCCCGGGCCAAACTTGCAGAAAAACTATTGCAAATGTTTTATTGAAAGTCAAATCTTTTTAAAATGCAATTATCTAATCATCTAATAAGATTGTCAAGTGTAAATATGTTCTTTTATCACTTGCCAGGGTTTGTTTAGTTTGTTCTACGAATGGCTCAGCTAAACAGGCCAATAAGACTATTAACTATCATTATACTATATCATTATACTAATGTCTAATTAAAACATCTACAAATGTATAAAACTGATCAGAGATCAGGTAAACCCACAGACACTTGTTCACTGGTTCTCAGTGCCTCCTCATGCTCAAGTGTTGACAGAGATCATCGCCCCCAGCGGTGAAACATTGACATTTCGAAGTGTTTGGAAACGTTTGTGACGTAATGAAGCCTCGTTTACTGAAATCACGTGACTCTGGCAGTTTGATACACGCTCCGAACCACTGATTCAGAACAAAAGATTCGTAAAGCCTTCGAAGCTTCATGAAGCAGTGTTTTGAAATTGCCATTACTACCTAAACCTTCGACAAGAACTCTATTGCATGTCTGCAAAATGTAGCTATTCACCCAAAACGTTTAATTCATGCTTCAAAACCCAGTTATTGTGTCAGGAAATTGGCCAATGGCACCAAAATAACAAGTGTTTTGTCATCGTGTGAGTCACAATGGTCAAAATGGTTCGATGTTTTTTCACCATGGAAATATTTGTTACTCTGTGTTAATGTGAGTTAATAAAATACAGCTGTCCATTGTTTGTTCATGTTAGTTCACAGTGCATTTGGTTGATTGGTAAGATTGTGATTAATCTTTCATTACAAAGGCAAGCCATTTGCCAATTTACCAGACATTACACACATTAAATGTCACAGGAATTTATGGAATATTCATGCATGTCTGGCAGATTTTGATCACTGAACGGATCGTTTTGCTTGTGAAACCTCACACGATGAAATATTGTTTATATGTTGTGAAGAGTTCATCAACTCATCAGTTTTGACCAACATTGACCAATCATTGTACTTACTCTTTTGCACACATGTGCCAAAACACATGCAATTTGCTTAAATCAATAAGGAAATTTAAATCCAATGTGAACGAGAAGCGAAGTGTTCAGAGACCTCACTCGAGAATGGGGCCAAAGCGATTGAGAAAAACTGTAAACCCCAACTAACTAGTTCAGCTGGAGTAATGCCCAGTCATGCTCAACAGCTCAGTTGATTGTCTCAACGTGCTTCGCTCATGTTGTGTGATCCGCCAGATCCGCAGCACGATCGAGAACAGTTTCGTGGGCTGGGAGCTGGAGGAGGTGCTCCTGCTGGACATGTCTGTGGACGACGGAGACGCTAAGATCCAGAACCAGCTGAAGAAGCTGCAGAGCCCCGTGATCCTGCTCTACTCCACTAAAGAGGAGGCCAACGTGATCTTCGAGGTGGCTCATTCTGTGGGCCTGACGGGCTACGGCTACACCTGGATCGTGCCGTCTCTGGTGGCGGGAGACGCCGACCACATCCCGCCGGAGTTTCCCACAGGTGTGTGTGTGTGTGTGTGTCTCTGAAGTATGTGTCTGGGTCTGTGAGGTGTGTGTGTGGGTCTCTTGAGGTGTGTGTGTGTGTCTCTGAGGTGTGTGTTGACGGGTCTCTGAGGTGTGTGTGTGTGTGGGTCTCTGAGGTGTGTGTGGACAGGTCTCTGAGGTGTGTGTGGACAGGTCTCTGAGGTGTGTGTGTGGGTCTGTGAGGTGTGTGTGTGTTTGGATGGGTTTCTGAGATCAGGGCTTTGGTATGTGTGGACGGGACTCTGAGCTCAAAGCTGAGGTGTGTGTGGACGGGTCTCTGAGATCAGGGCTGAGGTGTGTGTGTGTGGACGGGTCTGTGAGATCAGGGCTGAGGTGTGTGTGGACGGGACTCTGAGCTCAAGGCTGAGGTGTGTGTGTGGACGGGTCTCTGAGATCAGGGATGAGGTGTGTGTGGACGGGACTCTGAGCTCAGGGCTGAGGTGTGTGTGGACGGGTCTCTGAGATCAGGGCTGAGGTGTGTGGACGGGTCTCTGAGCTCAGGGCTGAGGTGTGTGTGGACGGGTCTCTTAGATCAGGGCTGAGGTGTGTGTGTGGATGGGACTCTGAGCTCAAGGCTGAGGTGTGTGTGTGGACGGGTCTTTGAGATCAGGGATGAGGTGTGTGTGGACGGGACTCTGAGATCAGGGCTGAGGTGTGTGTGGACGGGACTCTGAGCTCAGGGCTGAGGTGTGTGTGTGTGGAAGGGTCTCTGAGCTCAGGGCTGAGGTGTGTGTGGACGGGTCTCTGAGCTCAAAGCTGAGGTGTGTGTGGACGGGTCTCTGAGCTCAAAGCTGAGGTGTGTGTGGACGGGTCTCTGAGCTCAAAGCTGAGGTGTGTGTGGACGGGTCTCTGAGCTCAAAGCTGAGGTGTGTGTGGACGGGTCTCTGAGCTCGAAGCTGAGGTGTGTGTGGACGGGTCTCTGAGCTCAAAGCTGAGGTGTGTGTGGACGGGTCTCTGAGCTCAGGGCTGAGGTGTGTGTGGACGGGTCTCTGAGATCAGGGCTGAGGTGTGTGTGTGGACGGGTCTCTGAGCTCAGGGATGAGGTGTTTGTGGACGGGACTCTGAGCTCAGGGCTGAGGTGTGTGTGGACGGGTCTCTGAGATCAGGGCTGAGGTGTGTGTGGACGGGACTCTGAGCTCAGGGCTGAGGTGTGTGTGTGTGGACGGGACTCTGAGCTCAGGGCTGAGGTGTGTGTGGACGGGTCTCTGAGATCAGGGCTGAGGTGTGTGTGGACGGGTCTCTGAGATCAGGGCTGAGGTGTGTGGACGGGTCTCTGAGCTCAGGGCTGAGGTGTGTGTGCACGGGACTCTGAGATCAGGGCTGAGGTGTGTGTGTGTGGACGGGACTCTGAGCTCAGGGCTGAGGTGTGTGTGTGTGGACGGGTCTCTGAGCTCAAAGCTGAGGTGTGTGTGGACGGGTCTCTGAGCTCAAAGCTGAGGTGTGTGTGGACGGGTCTCTGAGCTCAGGGCTGAGGTGTGTGTGCACGGGACTCTGAGATCAGGGCTGAGGTGTGTGTGTGTGGACGGGACTCTGAGCTCAGGGCTGAGGTGTGTGTGTGTGGACGGGTCTCTGAGCTCAAAGCTGAGGTGTGTGTGGACGGGTCTCTGAGCTCAGGGCTGAGGTGTGTGTGGACGGGTCTCTGAGCTCAGGGCTGAGGTGTGTGTGGACGGGTCTCTGAGCTCAGGGCTGAGGTGTGTGTGGACGGGTCTCTTAGATCAGGGCTTTGGTGTGTGTGGACGGGTCTCTGAGATCAGGGCTGAGGTGTGTGTGGACGGGTCTCTGAGATCAGGGCTGAGGTGTGTGTGGACGGGTCTGTGAGATCTGGGCTTTGGTGTGTGTGGACGGGACTCTGAGCTCAGGGATGAGGTGTGTGTGGACGGGTCTCTGAGATCAGGGCTGAGGTGTGTGTGGACGGGTCTCTGAGATCAGGGCTGAGGTGTGTGTGGACGGGTCTGTGAGATCAGGGCTTTGGTGTGTGTGGACGGGACTCTGAGCTCAGGGCTGAGGTGTGTGTGGACGGGTCTCTGAGCTCAGGGATGAGGTGTGTGTGGACGGGTCTCTGAGATCAGGGCTGAGGTGTGTGTGGACGGGTCTCTGAGATCAGGGATGAGGTGTGTGTGGACGGGTCTCTGAGATCAGGGCTGAGGTGTGTGTGTGGACGGGTCTCTGAGCTCAGGGATGAGGTGTGTGTGGACGGGTCTCTGAGCTCAGGGATGAGGTGTGTGTGGACGGGTCTCTGAGATCAGGGCTGAGGTGTGTGTGGACGGGTCTCTGAGCTCAGGGATGAGGTGTGTGTGGACGGGTCTCTGAGATCAGGGCTGAGGTGTGTGTGGACGGGACTCTGAGCTCAGGGCTGAGGTGTGTGTGGACGGGACTCTGAGCTCAGGGCTGAGGTGTGTGTGTGGACGGGTCTCTGAGATCAGGGATGAGGTGTGTGTGGACGGGACTCTGAGCTCAGGGCTGAGGTGTGTGTGGACGGGACTCTGAGCTCAGGGCTGAGGTGTGTGTGGACGGGTCTCTGAGCTCAGGGCTGAGGTGTGTGTGGACGGGTCTCTTAGATCAGGGCTTTGGTGTGTGTGGACGGGTCTCTGAGATCAGGGCTGAGGTGTGTGTGTGGACGGGTCTCTGAGATCAGGGCTGAGGTGTGTGTGGACGGGACTCTGAGATCAGGGCTGAGGTGTGTGTGTGTGGACGGGTCTCTGAGATCAGGGCTGAGGTGTGTGTGTGTGGACGGGTCTCTGAGATCAGGGATGAGGTGTGTGTGGACGGGTCTCTGAGATCAGGGCTGAGGTGTGTGTGTGTGGACGGGTCTCTGAGATCAGGGCTGAGGTGTGTGTGTGTGGACGGGTCTCTGAGATCAGGGCTGAGGTGTGTGTGGACGGGACTCTGAGCTCAGGGCTGAGGTGTGTGTGGACGGGTCTCTGAGATCAGGGCTGAGGTGTGTGTGGACGGGTCTCTGAGATCAGGGCTGAGGTGTGTGTGTGTGGACGGGTCTCTGAGATCAGGGCTGAGGTGTGTGTGTGTGGACGGGTCTCTGAGATCAGGGCTGAGGTGTGTGTGTGTGGACGGGTCTCTGAGATCAGGGCTGAGGTGTGTGTGGACGGGTCTCTGAGATCAGGGCTGAGGTGTGTGTGGAAGGGTCTCTGAGATCAGGGCTGAGGTGTGTGTGGACGGGACTCAGATCAGGGCTGAGGTGTGTGTGGACGGGTCTCTGAGATCAGGGCTGAGGTGTGTGTGGACGGGTCTCTGAGATCAGGGATGAGGTGTGTGTGGACGGGTCTCTGAGATCAGGGCTGAGGTGTGTGTGGACGGGACTCTGAGATCAGGGCTGAGGTGTGTGTGGACGGGTCTCTGAGATCAGGGATGAGGTGTGTGTGGACGGGTCTCTGAGATCAGGGCTGAGGTGTGTGTGTGTGGACGGGTCTCTGAGATCAGGGCTGAGGTGTGTGTGTGTGGACGGGTCTCTGAGATCAGGGCTGAGGTGTGTGTGTGTGTGGACGGGTCTCTGAGATCAGGGCTGAGGTGTGTGTGTGTGGACGGGTCTCTGAGATCAGGGCTGAGGTGTGTGTGGACGGGACTCTGAGCTCAGTTGTGTGTGTGTGGACGGGTCTCTGAGCTCAGTTGTGTGTGTGTGTCTCCTCAGGCATGATCTCGGTCTCCTATGACGAGTGGGATTATGGTCTGGAGGCGCGTGTGAGGGACGGTGTGGCTGTGATCTCCTCCGCCACCTCCACCATGATGATGGACAGAGGGCCACACACACTCCTGAAGCCCGAGTGCCACGGGGCCCCCGACAAGAAGAGTCCGATTGCAGGCAATAACAACGAGGTGCTCAGGTGAGACTGCATTATTAACATGACCCTTCATTAAACCTCAACATCTTTTACTTTGTGGGGACAAAACTCGGTCCCCATGAGGAAAACAGCTTATAAATATACCGAATGAGTTTTTTTTTTTAAATGTTAAAATGCCAAAAGTTTTTTGTGATGGGTAGGTTTAGGGGTCAGATTAGTGTGTGTGTG